CTCCAAGGCCATTTGTTTTCCCTCCTCTGTCTGCAGCACTGTGGGGTCATCACCAGTGTTTCCAATACCAGAGCAGCATTTAGCAAGCTTTGATTCTGACCTCCCTGGCGCCTCTCCCCCTCTATCCCGTCTGTCTGACCCATCTGTTTCTCAGTGCACAACCAAATCCAGTGGGCTGTCATCTATTCAAAGGTGGAAGCTGGGTAGTTCATGGAGCACACCCTCCTGCTGGCTTTTAAGTCCCCGTAGCCAATGATGACCCTGCTCTCTCTTGCAGCTAAAGAATCACGGTGAGAAACTAGACAAAGAGCAGGCAGCCCTGGAGAAAGTAGAAGCCAAAGCCGACCCAAGGTAAGGGTTTCCGCATGTGCCACTGTCTTTTTGAGGAAACTGGCTGCAGTATCTGATGCTTGATTTTTCTGATCAAAGGACAGAATAGCCAGAGGTCATTGGCTGGAGCTCCAGTTCCATTCAGATAACATCACGGGACCAGCGGGACCAGCAGTCACTCCAATGCTCACTGAGCTATTTGGGCTGCACTGAGCTACCCACCTTTCTTTCAGCCCTCCCTGTGATCCTAGCAGAGCTGTTCTGGTGTTCTGATTTTAAAAACAATGAGACAGGGCTAGAGGCTTAGTAAAAGGTGCTTGCATTTTAAGCATGAGAACCTAGGTTTGATGTCCCAGATCCACCCTGCAAAGGCTGGGCATGGTGGTATACCCTTGTGATCCTAGAGCCAGAGAGGCAAAGACAGCTCTTGGCACTTGGTGGCCAGCCAGGCTAAATTTCTTGGCACATCTCAGGCCACTGAGGACACAGGAGGAACAAGCTGCTGAGATGACTCCCTGGTGCTTACTGAGTATCGAGTCTGATGAGCTGAGTTCACTTCCTCAAACCCACATGGTAAAAGGGGAGAACCTGACTCCCACAGTTGTCCTCAGACTTCCTCCCACACACACTATATGAGCACACTCACTCACACAAAATAAATAAATAAATAGATAGATGTAAAAACAGGTTTTAATTCAAAGAAAATAAGCAGCTTGCACCTGAAGAACAACAGTTAAGATTATCCTCTAGCCTACATACATGCACTCACGTGAGGATACACACACACACACACACAGGTTTGAGGTTTTGGGTACTATGCTTACTCTGAATACAATTGAATAAATGATAAATGAGTACCACCAAAGTTCCTAGATATTTCCAGAGTTGACATTATCATTCTAAAATCCTTTTTTTTTTTTTTTTTTTTTTTTTTGTCCAAGTGCATAGCCAGAATTGGAAATTGTGACCATTCGTGGCATTCCCATTACAGCCATGCAGAAAACAAAAGAAATTAAGAAGGAGCTCTTTGTATTCTCACTGTGGCTTCAGCAGTGATTCATAAAGTCACATCTTAATGGCCTGCCCTCTGCCATTGTCTGGTCTCTCCTCAGCATTCTGCAGAACCTGAGAGCACTCGTAGCCATGAATGAAAGTCTGAAAAGCCAGGAGCAGGAGTTTAAAGCGCACTGCCGGGTAAGTGCTGTGTGGTGTTGGTGACAGGCAGGAGGGCTCTGCTGACACTCTTGTTTCCCTCCCCTGTGATGCTGGGACACACTAGCCAGTGCAATGTTAAAGGTTGACTCAGGCTCTGGAGGTGACTCTGAGTAAAGTGATTTCTGCCTTTGCAAGCTGGGAGAGTTCTTTCCCAGAAAGGGAGGAGCTTGCCAGTGAGAGCAGAACGCCTGGTTCCCTGTTGGCTTTTGTCTTAGCACAAACTAATGAGGGAAATGTCTGTCTGCGCTGAATAGTTAAATTGGCCAGACAAGATGGCTGAGCAGGTAATAGTGCTTGCCACTAAGGCTAACAACCTGAGTTCAGTCTCTGGGATGCACACGGTAGAAAGAAAAAACCTGAATCCATAGGTTTTCCTCTGACCTCTACACATATGCTAAGGTGTGCAATATGAGAATGAATATACGCACATGCACACAAACAAATCTAAAAACAAGCTAGTTGTGGCTTAACAGTTACCCTCCAGTGAGTGGTTTCCCTGAGCTTTGTAAAGGTTTTGCTTTTGCAGGAAGAGATGGCTCGACTCCAACAGGACATTGAGACCCTGAAAGCTGAGAGAGCACCAGGCGAAAAGGTAAAGGCTTCATTTAGTCCTCAGTGCCATCGTCGTGTGGAAGGATTGCAGCGGTTTGGTGGCATGACTCTTCCTGGGGGGACATGAAGAAACCTCCATTCACTCCAGATAGAGAGGGCACTGCCGGGCCAAAGGACGGGTTCTATGTCTGGTGAACAAATACAATGCATTTATTGGGGTTTGTTACAGGGGCTTTGGTGGCTCACAGGCAGCTGTGCCATGGAGAGCCCCACTTTAGTCAGAGGTTGACCTCTTATATATCTTGGGGAGAGGGAGGGTCTCATGCTCCTTATCCCGGCTACTCTGTTTAAAAATGGCAACAGCTAAGGCAAGCCTTAACTGGAGTAGACAGCTCTCAGCACCATTAATCATTTTCCAAGACATACTGCCACTTTACTGGAGCTGGGCCTATAAATATATATTCCTCAGGGTGGGAGAGATGGCTCACTGGGTGTGAGTATTTGCTGCACAAGCATGAGCACCTGATTCAAATTCCCTGCATCTGTGTAAAAAGCTAAGCTTGAGGAAAGATGGTTTCATGATTAAGAGCGCCTATTGCATATCTCTGCTCCCCTTACTGAGAAAACGTGCTGACCTCATTTCCTTCCTTTCAGACCATCTCCAGTGGAGAGCCGCAGGGTACCCTGACCTCTACCATGACTCACAATGTAAGTATCTCCTCATCCTTGAGACTGGCATTGTCCCAAGAGAATGTGTCAGCCTCCTTTCTGTTCTTGCTCAGCTTTCTCAGGCTCCTGTGTAGTCTGTGCTGCTGCCTCCTCTGTATAGTCTGTGCTGCTGCCTCCTCTGTATAGTCTGTGCTGCTGCCTCCTCTGTATAGTCTGTGCTGCTGCCTCCTCAGTATAGTGTGTGCTGCCACTGCCTCTGTATAGTACTGCTCCTCTTTTGCTTGTTCCTCACTCCTCAACTAGAAGATACCTGTGTTAGCCACATGAGCCTCAAGGGGCTAGAGAGTGATACAGAGGGGAAAACTGCCTTCTTTGCTGTATTATGGCAGGGCACTGCTCTAGTTGGCCATACTGACTATGTATCAGGTGTATCCAACCTGCAGCTCAACACAGTTATAAACTTACTTAAAGTATTATGAGGGATTTTCTTGACTGGATGTTCTCAAGCACAGACATTATAAGTGATCACAATGTGCCATATGTATTAGAAATGAATGGACACAAATATATTCCATCACAACTCATTTACAGAAATAGGCAGAGAGTCAGACATGGCTCAAAGGCTGTAGGCTTTCCATGGCATGCTCTAGTTTGCAGACCCTGGTTATGAGTTAGAACAGTACTTATCATGTGTAAAGAGAAAGGAAGAGGGTCAGTTGTGCAGGGCCACTAGGCAGGGCCTTCTTACGTGCTCTTCATAACCTGTTAGGAGACTTGACAAGGGACTCCCATGATATCTGTTAGATGTCACCTGTAGCTGAGCTTTGTGCAGGAACCTGTATGCATGTGCTCTGTGTGTTCTTGTATACGTATGTCCCTTCTATAATTTTCTCTGATACAACAGACTTTCCAGCCATTTTTCTTGTGCCTTGGTCTGCTGTAGAGCCACGCCTATGCTTAGCTCTGTCCCCAAAGCACTTTCTGTAATGGTGAAAATGTTTGCATAGGCATCTTCCCACATATACTGCATGGCTACTGAAGCCAAGAGGCTGATTTTCTCTTCCTTATGTTACTGGACACGAAGGGTTACTAGTTATAATTTTGGATACCCCATGTCCAGTTAGAAACATAAACGGAAAACCAGTGTTAGCAGAAAACACAGAGATGGAAAACAGACTCTTACAAAAGAGTTCTTTCCCTTTTGTTGGAGGGTGTTCTGAGATATAGGGGCTGCAGGAGCCCAGAGGAGATACTTAAGAACATTGCATTTAGGGGTGAGGTGGTTCAACAGGTTGAGTACTTGTCCTGAAAGCCAGGAGACATGAGTTCAATCCCCAGAACCCATATAAGGTGGAAGGAGAGAACCAATTTCACAAAGTGGTCCTCTCCCTTCCACAATTCTACTGTGGCACATGTATGCTCCCCCAGAGGAATAATAGATAATTATTTTCTTCTGAAAAGAAGATTGGATTCAGCCAGGATCCTAATAAAGGAAGAGGTGTTAGGATATGATGTGGAAGTATCTCTCAGGTGTGACGTTCTAAAGTTGGTCATTTGAGAGAAGGAACTCAAGCTGAGAGAATATGGTTAGATGTACTCAACTTTCAGAGACTCCATCAGGGAATGGAAGTTCCATTCTAGATAACTGTGACCTGTTCTCACTTTTAGGAGGACCTGGACAGACGGTACAACATGGAAAAAGAGAAGCTGTACAAGATCCGGTTACTACAGGTGAGTGTCCACAAGGACCAGGGGTGCTTAACTGGCTGATATGAATGTCCTGTGACTGGATGGAGGTGTGTATAAGGTGTGTAAGAGCTAGCGTGACCAGGACCTGCTCACTCCTCCCACTGTACCAGTCATAGTATGGTGTGAGGAACTGCTGACAGCAGCACAAGTGTCTGTTACTCTCAGCATTGTTATTTGGAGTAGAACTTCACCCTGCGTATAGAGTTGGTATGATTAGTGTCACAGTTATAGTAGTTCAACATGTTCCAAGTTCTGGTCCCAGAACTCACATCAGTTGCCCCCGACATGTACCTCTCCAGCTGCAGGGCATCTGACACTGTCTTCTGAACTTCACAGGTACCCAGACTCATGTGCACATGCCCTCACACAAACACAAGTACAGACCATTCAAAAGGTAAATAAAATTTGGAGGAGACTAGTGAGATGGCTCAGCAGTTAAGAGCACTGGCTGCTCCTCCACGTGACCCAGGTTTAATTCTCAGCACCCACATGACTGCTCACAACCATCTTTCAGTCCCAGTTCTGGGGGATCCAGCACCCTCTTCTGCCTTCCAAGGGCACTAGGCACCCACAGGCATACATACACATGCAGGTAAAATACTCATACACATAAAATGATAAAAATAACTTTCAGTAGGTTAACTGTTTCTCCAAAGGCAAGCCTCAGGTAGGTCCCAGAAGCAGGATTCAAGTTCAGGTCTACTTACTAGCTAGAGATTTGAGAGCATAGCTTCACAAATGGAGTGGGGAGATTATAAAGCCAGTGCCAAGCCTTAGCACAGCCAGTACTGTATGTCTGAGTCTGTTGTATTGCCACTGCCTGCCTCATGGAGATTCAAATCCACAAATGACTCTTGGCCTTGTGTTACATATTGGTTTGGGCCACTTTCTTTTCCTTTGTCTGGGTTCCCAGGAAGCCAAGCTTTGGTAGGGATGGCCAGGAGGCTCCAGGGGCCTATTAGAGGTTATTTGCATCTTTCTGGCTCTTAATTATTTTATGAGATTTTTGGTTAAATCCAGATGAGTCAAATATGTCCTTGATATAAGAGCACTATTCTGATGTTTAATGTTTTGAGTGTTATAGCTCAGTGTGCTCTCAAACTTTGTATGTAGCCTGGCCTGGCCTTGAACTTCTGATAATCCTGCCTCTAGCTCCCAAGTGCTGGGATTATAGATATGCACCACCATGCATGACTACCCTTCAAATATTTAAAGATGGCTTCTCAGCCTTAAGCAAAACCAAGTGCAAATATTTAAAGGTACATAGAATTAATACAATCTGGGCCCTACTGCTCTTTGAAGACCCTCAGTGGCTACTTCTTACATATTTAACAATGCATCAGATCCCAGTAGCAGGAACTGAGAAGACCTGCCCTGTGGGAACTGGGTATTTGAGGACCAAGATCTGCCCATAAATGCCAAAGTGCAAGGCTGTTTATGTGGGAAATGCAACTATTGGGGAAAGGCTGAGACCAAGCTAGAAGATACAAGGAAGCCAGTGACTTGCTGAGGGCCTGGTCTGGGGAGAGGCAATGGGATCTGTGAGTGGAGGGGAAGGTGAGGGTTGTGTCTAATGAGATTTAGTGACAGCTGGATGAGAGGAAGAGGGGGATCAAGGTTGACGTGGAGGTCACCGGGAAATGGGCATAAAGGAGCAGGAATGTGAATGGCATTATGAAGAAAGTGTCAGTAAAAGCTCTGCTGGTCTGGACTGGGTTTGCTGGAAGACAGCTCAGCAGCTTAAAAAGTGTTTGCCTTGCAAGTGTGAGGACCAGAGATCACATCTCTTGAAGCCATGTAAATTCCAGGTGCACATGGTAGCCCTCCTGGAATTCCACCCTCAGAGGAAGACAAGAAGGTCCCCAGAGCAAGCTGGCTAGCAAGACAACTAGTCTTGTCTGAGTTCTGGGTGTGACTTGAGAGGCAGACACTGCCTCAGTGGATAAGGTGGAAGAATGACAGATGGGTGATTCCTGCCACCATCTTTATGTGTACATGTGTGTGTGTACACTAGCTCCCACACACATATGAACACCATACATTGCACACATGAAAAACTTGAGGGGTCCAGTAACCCTTCAGGTAGCATTGTGTGAAGAATGATTGTTGTCAGCTCCAACTCAAAAGAGTTTGGGCTGGAGAACAATCTGCAGTGAGGAAGGTAACTAAGGCTGTGGGCATGTGGGCAAGACCTAGACTCAACCCTAGTGAGTGATCAAGCAAGAACAAGAGAGAGGGGGATGGGAGAGGAGCTGAGAGCTATTCACAGAGGCTGAGCAGACAGCTTAGGTTGCCGTCAAACATGGATATGATAGTTTTTGCTTTATTGTATTTATTTTTATCATGTTTGGTTGTTATCTCTTAGAAGCCTATTCTTTTCTACTGAGGGAGAGAAAGGGAATGGATCCAGAGGGGAGAGGAAGTAGGGAATGAGTAGAGGGAGAGGGAATAATCAAGATAGATTATTTAAGAAAAGAATCTATTTTCAATATGGCAAGTGGTTGAGGACTGAAGGAGCTAGACGCTCAGACTCCCTCTTCACCCGTGCCTCATGCCTCAGACTCCCTCTTCACCCATGCCTCATGCCTCAGACTCAGACTCACTCTTCACCCATGCCTCATGCCTCAGACTCACTCTTCACCCATGCCTCATGCCTCAGACTCAGACTCACTCTTCACCCATGCCTCATGCCTCAGACTCAGACTCACTCTTCACCCATGCCTCATGCCTCAGACTCACTCTTCACCCATGCCTCATGCCTCAGACTCACTCTTCACCCATGCCTCATGTCTCAGAAAGCTTCTGAAGTCAGACTTTGTCTTGACTAGCAGGGCATTAAACAGGGGTCCAAGGAGGTCACCTGAAAGAGAAGATGGGGAAAACAGGTGAACGCAAGAAATGTCAATCTGTCTATAGTCTGATCAGATGGCAATTTTTACTTTTTCACACACAGGTTATATACACAAAAAGGCAGGATGTGGGGAAGGGGATGATGCAGGAGCGTAGGTGTTCAGGGGTAGTACAGATATCTTCCAGAACAGAGTGTCAGCTGAGTGAAGGTTCAGGGGACAGATCACTATGACTCTGTCTATGATTCACTTGTCCTTATCTAAGTTGGTACTCTCTACCAAGGCTACCTATCTACAAAGTCTGTGTATTCAGCCTGGCAATTTTCTACCAAAGCTGCTTGTTTACAATAGCTTCTAGGCATCTGTTTCAGTCTTTTTCCACAGAGACCCAAGACTTTGTGTTAGCAGGCATGTATGTCAGGCCTATTGTTGATTTTAGGCCTATGGCTGATTTTAGGCCTTCAGTGTATAAACAGGGCTGCCCCTGACAAGACGTTTTCTGGCAAAACAGAAGACATACTCCCAATGACTGCGGTTAGGGAACCCACAGTGGATCAGAGTCCTTGGTGAAGCAGTGAGTTCTTACTGGAGTTACTTCCGACCAGACCATTGGTGAGGGCTGACTTACACAGAGCAGGGTGACACCAACAAGCCCTCCATCCATAACACATGTGACAGCTCATGAAATTGCACCCCTGGAGCTCCTACACCATTTGCAGGCTGCTAGACCGGTGGCAGTCTCCTTGACATGGTTCCTAAGCATCATGGCTGGTCAGTATCCTCCGCCAGCAGTTGTTTGCTGCTTCCTTCGGGAGGGACCTAGTGAGTCTTATAAATTTAAGCTTTCCTAGAATGTGGAGTTTGTTTACTTCCTGAGTTTTCTGAGCCCAAGCCCACAGCTTGTCCTTACTTCTTCCTGGCAGGAATGTTCCAACTGGGAGAGAGCTGGGATAAACAGCCTTTATCAAAGGACAGAGGCCAGGGTGCTGAGGCTTAAAGGGCAGATGCACTAAGCATGCCTGGCTGTCAGGATACTAGACTGGTAGCTGCATGGTGGTACAGCTCAGCAAAGACTTGAGTGAATTTAAATACTGATGGACAGCCAGTATATCCATAAGCACCCTCACACATGCAGAACATTCTAGAAACAAAGGCACAATCACAAGGTATAGCATGAGTGCTGGTTTGAGATAGCCCCCAGGATAAAGATGCCTGCTGACAAGTGTGTGCTGTGTAGGTCCTCAGGACCAGGTTTACTTCCTCTGCCCATTAAAGAATTAGAAGGCAGGAGAGGAGGGTCACTAGAAATCTTGGGGAGTCCAGCAGAGCCATCATCTGATGCTAGGGAAATGGAGGTTTCCACATGGGGTACTTGGCTTCATTAATAAAAGAAATTATGAACAGACTCAAACAGAAGCTCAAGGATAATTTATTAATTAGAGTTTAAAAGGAAAACCTCCAGGCAGGCAGGCTGTGAATCAGAGTTGCCCGGAAGGAGCGTGAAGGTAGACGTGGAGGTCAGCCACGCAGTAGGGAGGGGAGCCTCAGAAAAAAAGAGCTATCGGCCAAGGGCTTGAGTTTGCGAGTTTAAAAGTGTAGTCAGGCTCTTGCCAGCATTAGAAAGCAAAGGGCAAAGACAAGAAAAAGGAGTAGTTAACACTCTTCTGAGTCTGGACTGAGGAAGGCAGGCAGGCAGAACCCTAGAGGCAGTCCCCTGGCCTGGTCCCTGACCTGTCCTTAAGGGAGGAGACAAGGGCATGTCTCCACCTACAGGCGGATTCCATCCTTTACAGCCTGAGCTTGTTTCCCAGGACCCACATGGTGGGTGGGGAGAACGTCCACATATTGTCCTCCGAATTCTACCACCCATCACGGCATTTGCCCAGGAAATTAGCAAGCAGACAAGCACATGTAACTTTACAAACCTCAAACGTCCAATGGTTGTACCATAAGATTCCCATGAAGAAACTCGAGGTCAGCCCTGCACTCATAAGGAGCTTTCACTGTATCCTGTGTCCAGAGCTATGTAGACTAGACTTAGCATTTGGTTACAAGAGTAGGTTTCCTGCTTAGAGGTTGTGTTTCCTTTAGAAATTGGCAATCAGTTCCTACTGCTGAGAGAGAAGCAGGACCCAGGACTGTATGGCCACAGACAGGAGGAATGGAGGCTCAAGAGAACAGCAATACTCAACCCAGGTCCTGAGATCTAGACGTAGCCATGCAGAAGCTAAGTGGTGTGGTCCTCTTGCAACACCGCTGTCTCTTATACACCTGACTTAGCAGTCTGGTCTCCCTGTGAAAAGGCTTTCAGAAGCAGTTGTGGGCTTCTAAGTGGAAGAATTCAGAGCACATTTTGGAGAGGCAGTGGGATGGCACCTGTCATCTGGAACTCCTTTCACTGCTTGTCCTCAGTCAATCACAATCCCATGTAAGGACCTCAGGCCAGTAGAGGAATGTGTGTCTTTGCAGCTGGCTCAGCTGTGACGAGCAGACAAATGCAGCCTTTGACCAAGTGTTCTCTCCCTGTCCCTTTGCATTTAGGCACGAAGAAATCGGGAAATAGCGATTTTGCATCGCAAGATTGATGAAGTGCCCAGTCGGGCAGAGCTGATCCAGTATCAGAAGCGATTTATTGAACTCTACCGGCAGAGTAGGTGCATTGATCAAACACACAGACTCGTGGGCTTCAGGAGGGAAGGGAGGGAAGGGGCTTCATGCCCTTTAGCACAATGCAGTATAGATCAGAGCACAGTTCACAAATGCCACATTGAAAAGGGACCTTATGTCCCTTGCTGAACAGCCCTGGGAGACTTATGATACTGTAGCTGTTTGCTCTGTAGACGGACTTCTGACCTTGAGAGTCAGCTTTGGCCAGCTCTCGTGGTGGTTAGCCACGTGCAGTCACCTGAGCCTCCCTCTTCTTTCCTCTTCTTATGAAGCATCCCCACCCCAGCATGCTCCACAGAGTCTCACTGGAGTTGCATTAAAGCATCATGTTATACCTACTCAGTTATGGCATCATGTCAGGCTCAAAGCTGTAAAAAAAAAATTAATATTCTGTATATATTAGCTAATGCTGGAAATTAATACAGTGGTAGTTATTCCTTAATCAGCTAGTTCCTCAAATAACCACACAGAGACCTTTTAATATTTCAAAGCTTAGGTCTTAGCTAGGCAGACTCTCAGTTAGCTCATTTAAGCTAATCTGACCACCTAACCCCATCCAGTCACATGGCTAGCTATACCTTTCAGGCCTGTAGGCACATGTGACTTTCTTCTTCCCAGAGTTCCTTTCTCCCTCCCAGGAAATCCCTCTTTCCTCTCTCTACTCCTCAGTCACAAGCTTTAGCCTTTTATTGACCAATTAACTTGGGGAGAAAGATTTGCACAACAAAAGCTGGTCTAGTGAGGATTCTCTCATCTTGGGGCCAGCAGTTCTTGGAGTAAGGAAATCAGCATTTGAATATATAGTAGCACCAGACCAACCCCAACACAAAGCCACCCCAGGGTTAAGGGAGATGGCTCCACTAATTAAAGTTCTGCCTGACAAGCCTGAGGACCTGAGTTTGATCTTGATTTTAAGAAACATATTGTTGTTTTGTTTGTTTGTTTTTAAAGGCTGGGAACTATGGCTCAGTTGTTTAGTGTACATATTTTTGCAGCAGACCCAAGTTAAATTCCTAACACCCACATGACAGCTCACATATGTGCATATCTCCAGTTCTAGGAGATCCACCACCATCCATGGGTACCAGGCACACATGTCTATACATACATTCACACAGACAAAGAATCCATACATGGAGATCCACCACCATCCATGGGTACCAGGCACACATGTCGTATACATACATTCACACAGACAAAGAATCCATACATATTTTTTAATAAGCCATGTGTGGTGGTAAACACATAGGAGACAGTTACATCTCTGAGGCTCACGGAACACCCAGACTAGCTTAGTAAGTGAGCTCTGGATTCAATAAAAGAGCTTATCTCAAAAAAAAAAAAAAAAAAGGTGAAGAGGGATTAAGAAAGATTCCCAGTGCCCACCTCCGAATGCACACGTGTACACATACAAACATGTATACACAGAGACACAGGCTTCCGTGATGACTGAGTGTGCATAAGGCCCTGGGCACACGCTGCACGGGGTTGCGATGCTGTGGTTCACTGATGCTCTTGCACGAGGATGCTCATCTCTTTGCATTGGCAGTTTCCGCAGTACACAAGGAAACCAAGCAGTTCTTCACTTTGTACAATACCCTGGATGACAAAAAAGTTTATCTGGAAAAGGAGGTAAGAGCCTTTGTTTGCTTCTTTCTTTCTTTCTTTTCTTATTCCATTTTAAGTTTTATTGTGGAGGGGAGGCATTGTACATATGTGGAGGTCAGAGGACAGCTAGTAGCAGTCAGTTCTGTCCTTACACCCTGTGAGCTCCAGGAACAGAACTCAGGTCTTCAGGCTTAGCAGCAAGCACCTTGTACTTAAGACTTCACAGTGGCCCTAGTGAGAGCCTTTATGCAAAGAAAATAACTTAGATGAGCCACTGACAGCATGGTAGCTCCAGAAGATTTTGATGGACCTAGAGCCTGAGATGGAGTCATCTAGTGTAAATAGAGAGTGACTGCCTTCCTGTGCCAAGCACTGGGGTTTGTCACTGCAAAGCAGTGGGAGCTCTGCAGTGAACAGAAGCTGGTGTTTAGCTGTTCTGTAGTATCATGTGAGAAACACCAGCATGGGGGTTGGGAAGATGGCTCATTAGGTAAAGTGCTTGCCTTCCAAACATGAGGGCCTGAGTTCAGTCGCCAGAACCCACATTAAACAAAACAACACCAAAACCTGGTACTATGGTACTATGCTTGTAATGCCAGGACTGGCTAGACAGAGCCAGACCACTGGGGATCACTGCCCCAACCCCAGCCTAGCCTCCTCGATGAGCTCTGGGCCAGTGAGAGACCCTGTCTTAATGAGCAGGGTGGACAGCCTCGTGAGGAATGGCAGCTGAGCTTGTCTTTGGGCCTCCACATGCAAGCGTGCATTCAAACCCATGAGACGATTAGTCCACCAGCTCTTTTTGAGGTGCTAAGGGTAAGAATGCCATTCCCATGAGTATTGTGAATCTAAAGTCCAGGTGCAGTAATTGCTTACAGATGAGCCAACGGGTTAAACAGTGCACAGCCAGGGGACCCCAGACAGAGCCCTTCCCAGCATGTCTCACAAGGTCAGATGGAGGCTCTCATTGTGAGGACAGGGATGGTTTCCATGAACAAGACCGTGTAGGTCAAGTTTTATCAGAAGTTCTCAGGGCCATTCAGCAGCTGGCCATGTTGGTGGCCTTGATGACTCTGTGGTGGGAGTGAAAAAGTGGAGAATAGACACCGTCTTCTCTGTCCCTACTCTACTGACCCACCCTGAGCTGATCACCTTAAAATAGAGTAATGTTTGGGAAGTCCAAACGATCCCTGCTGGCAGTTTGTCCAAAGAGCCCTGCCACTAGAATCCCCTTTAAAAAGCTATCTTTTCACATTCTCATGGTCACACATTCTAGGGAAAATGGTTTTCTTTAAGTAGACAGATTCTCTGAGGAAAACTATGCAAGTAAGAACATACTGTTCTTTCCTTTGTTCTGTCAAATGTCACTTTGACCTGCTTGACTAGATGTGGCTCCTCATCAGTGGCCTTGTCTCGGCCCTAGGCAAGCTCTCCAGCAAGGGCTGGGGTAGTGTGGGGTCCTTTTAGTCTTCTACTTACACGGTTCTCTTTCACTCCCCCAGATTAGCCTACTGAACTCCATTCACGAGAACTTCTCACAGTAAGTACTGGCTGCCCTCCTCCCCGCCTGCCCTCCTGGTCTGGATGAGGAGTGACTGACAATGTGTTGTACACACATGGTCTGGTACTGGGACATGATTCTCTCACTTTCCCTATCCACTAAGGGCAGATGCCTTAATGGAAGGTTCTGCAAATTACAGTGCTGTGGGTAAAGAACCTGCCTTGCACAAGGACCCGGGTTCCATCCCAGAACCCTCAGGGAAAATTGAGCATAGAGTCGTGATTGAGCATAGAGTCATGATTGTAACCCCAGAGCTGGAAGTTGGACACAGGTGGATCCCTAGAGTTTAGTGTCCAGGCACCCTATTCTACTTGATGACTTCAGGCCATTGAGATAGCCTTTGAGAGACTTGAGGCCCCAGGGAGTCGGGAAGTCTGGGGGCGGGGGGGGGGTAGAGGAAGGGGGGACATCCTCTTGGAGTTTGGAGAGGAGGTATGGGATGAGGAACAGTCAGAGGGCAGACAGGAGGAGCATAAAGACTGGACTGTAAAAAAAAGATTAAAGAGAAAAAAATCCCTTCTACCTTGTGGATGGCAAGGAAGAATTCTTTAAGGTATGTTTTGTGAATTAACATATATCCTCCAAACTGGGGAGTTACCTCAGTGGTAGAGTGCTCAGGTATACTCATAAAGCCCTGGGCTCAATTCCTCAGCAGTGCATAAACTGACTTGTTGGTGTATACTTGTAATTCCAGCACTTAGAAGGGAAGATAAGAGAATCAAGAATTGTTTAAGGACAGTTTGACTACAAAGTTTGTTCAAGGCCAGCCTAGGCTACATGAGATTCTACCATAAAATAAATTGTATGGGAAGGTCATCTGTATAAGTCATATAGCAAGGGAACCAGGTAACACTAGCTCTGGAGTGTGTTCATGGTGAGCTAGCCTACCCACCTTGCTGGTAGCCCAAGGCTTGCTCCCAGAATAGCATGCTTCCTTTTGCTAGCACAAACCTCTGCTGGCCCTTGGCAGCCGACTAGAAACATTTTAAGGCCAAGTTCTTCCTGAATCATGGGCTCCAGACTCTCTACATATTTTTTATTTTATTTTAAACACAGCAGGGTTAAGCCATTCTCCACTGAGCCTGAACGTGAATTCAGTCTGTAGGACCCATGGCTTGTGTGCGTGCACATGCACGCACATACACACACACACACACAGACAGAGAGAGAGAGAGAGAGAGAGAGAGAGAGAGAGTGTGTTTATAAAACAAAATTTCAGAGGTTTGATTTTACCAAATGAAGACTCAGGAGCCAGACACTATGGTGAAAATGTGCTATCTCAGAGAGGCAGAGAACGCACCCTGCTGACCTTCCTCCTCAACTGGTATCCCAGAAAGAAAGAAAAAAAAATTGTTCTCCTCCACACTGTCTTAAAAACCCTTCCAACTGAATGCCCCTCCTTTCTACTTCCTGTGCATCTCTCTGTCCATCCTCCTGACTTCCTCTGACTCTGTATGGTTTTTTCCTATGTTCACTCCCAGTCAGCTGGTTGCTTGCTCTACCTCTTCACCTGTGGTTAACTTTATTCAGTCTTAATGACAGTAAACAGAAAGCTCTTGGATTAAAAGTGTGTGCTAGGGCTGAGCTCAACTAGAAACAGGTTTTTCCAGCATACAGTCTCAGGGTTCACAGTATGATCAGATACGCTGCAGCAGACATAACACACACACACACACACACACACACACACACACGCACGCACGCACGCACGCACGCACGCACGCACGCACGCACGCACACAGGGAGGTTCAGGGGTGGCACCTGCCTTTGTGTCCTCCTATTGGTCTTCTCAGACTTGGGGGCTGGATTCCTGATAACCACAGCAGAGTTCTGCTCTGTCAGCCCTCTGAAGAACCCCCTACCTGTGAGTGCCAAGCTCTGAGCCTTCTAGTTCCCAGCCCTCTGCGGGACTGGATGTGGGTCGGAAGGTATAGGAGGCACACCAGGAAATCTACCCCTTCTACTGCCTCCAGCAAAGTTCCAGATGTCTCCCTGTCCTCAGATTCTAAAAAAAAAAACTGAATTAATTTCTTAAGTCTTAAGCAGTACATGCCATATGGCATTTGTATTATTATTCACATTTTATGTTGAGGAAATACAGTTTGGTTGAAAGTTATAAGGACGAAGCTGAGAGATCCTCGGAAGGGCAGCGCTTTGACGTTGCCTGTGTGTGTACTGCTGCTGAAAGTGCACACATGCCTGTCTGAAGATTAGAGGAACAGCCTGTTCTCACCCGCCTAGTTTTCCTCAGATCTGTTTTCGTATAGTCAGAGTTATTCCTTATACAGTCCACAGGAACACAAGGAGAATGGGGAACAAGATTCACATTCAGTTATCAGATCAGAGGTTTGGAATCCCGACTGGTTGGTATTCTTGCTGGCTCCTTCAGCCCTCTATGCCCTGCAAAGGTCTAGTTGACTATTGTGGCACATTCTAGATACAGGACTGACTCCTTGCTGTCCCCCACCCCCTTTCTAACTGTACCACGTGTTGGACCTACCTCTGCTGATTTTTCTTTCAGAGCCATGGCCTCCCCTGCTGCCCGGGACCAGTTTTTAAGGCAGATGGAACAGATTGTCGAAGGCATTAAACAAAGCAGGATGAAGGTCAGTGGGCTTACTTTCCAGCAGGGCAGGGTGTGTGGTGGTGAGGAGGTCCTGGGCATAGGCTCTCCATCCAGACTGCATCCTGCATTGCCTCCCACCAGCCATGAGACTCTAGTGGGGTTGGCCTCCACATTTCTATTGGTCATAGCTTCCAGGCACCGAGTACTCCTGTGTGCCAGACACTGTGCAGTTCCCCATATTAAATAAGTGATGCTGCCCCTCCCCTGCTTTACAGATAAAGAACTGTCCCTCCCCAGCAGCCCTCCTCTCTTGTCCAGCCATCTTCTCCCTGGTCATTTATCTCATGACATTTCAAAGGGTATGGTGCCATGTACTTAGGGTCCTGGTGCGGGGGAAAGATCCTGAGGCTTAGTGGCCAGCCAGCCTAACCTACTTAGCCAGTTCTAGACAAGGTAGAGACCCAGTCTGGAAAATCATAGTGAGGGGTATAACAGCCAAGTTTCTCCATACACGCAGGCCGCGCCTGCTGTGTACATGAATATTTTCTGCCTTCGTCTCCTGGCTGGCTGATGGTCTACATTTAGCTTCAGAAAATAACTGCATATAGCACCTGGTTCTGCTGAGTTGCCCCTCCTCTCAGCTCTCTGTCACACAGTCCATATGCCTTCACCATCTCCAACTCCATTCCGTTTTCCCCAACACTGATGCTGATGATCACAAATGTACATTCACTAGCTCGTCAGACACTTGGTTGGTCTGGTTTGGTACCAGTTGCCAGGATGTGCCCCTTGAGAACAAAGACTTTAGTTGTTCACTGCTAACTTTAGGCTCTCCGTAGTAGGTGTGCCATTACTCTTTACCATGTATACAAAGGACATGAGCTTAGTCCCTAGAGCCCTGAGAAAATGCCAAGTATAACAATGCTGGTGCATGCTTGTATTCCCAGTGCTGGGGACTAGAAGACATGAGCATCCCTGGGGCTTGATGGTCAGCAAGTCTCAGGTATTTGGCAAGGTTCAGGCCAGTGAGAGCCCCTGTCTCTATAACAGGGTGAGACCAACTAGGTGGCTCACTGGGTGCAGGCACATTAACAGAAGGAGAAAACGAGCTTCCATAGGTCATATTCCAGCCTCCACTTGCAACTTCCTCTATTTTGTGGCTACTGTAGAAAATCTCTTTAAGTCAACATCTAATGTCTGTGACTAAGATCAGAATCCTGGAAACACCCTGTAGCTGTAGATAGCTTACACTATGACACAGTTGGAATAAATGAAAGGTGGTAAGCTATTTTATCATAAACACAATTGTATACATCAGGGCTACACACACAGTTGACATCCTATCTAGATAATCCTTTGCCTTACGGCCATCCTGAACCCTTTAGGGTGGTGAGTAGCATCTCCTTGCCAGTGACACCAGCAACTCTCCTTCCTTGGAGTTGTGACACACCAAACCGCTTGCAGATACTCACAAATACCCTCTAAAGACAAAGTATTTTCCAGTCAAGATACCCCCAAAAATACATGCTGTTCATCTGATGTTCTATAAATAGTGAGCTGCTGAATAGATAAAGAGCCTGCAGATGATATCATTCAGAAAGAAAACAGGACAACCTGAGGAAATGTGTTCAGAAGGGAGGGGCTGGGAGAAACAGGTACAAGTGTTACTCATGGCCGCCTGCTGCGGTCGATGTCAGAATGCCTCTTCATCCACCACCGTTTCCAAAACTGTTTCCAACAGATGGAAAAGAAGAAGCAGGAGAACAAGATGAGAAGGGACCAGTTGAACGATCAGTACTTGGAGCTCCTGGAAAAGCAGAGGCTCTACTTCAAGACTGTGAAAGAGTTCAAAGAGGTGAGAGGGCGTGGGCCAAAATCAAATGCACATTCAACCCACCTCAGGATGCCCCAGGCTGGAACTGGGGCTGGTGAGACAGCTTTGTCAGGAAAGTGCTTGCTGTGAAGGGGGGAGTACTTGAGTTTGATCCCCAGAACTAATGTGGGGTGGGAGAGAAATCAAAAAACAACAGGATGGTGCCCACTCGAATCCCAGTGCTGGGAGGAGGAGGCCGTAGGACCTCTGAGGCTTGTGGGCCAGCCAGCCCAGCCTGCTACTCCATGAGTAAAGAGTAAAGTGGGGCCAGCAAGATGGTTTAGTGAGAAAAGGTGCTTTCTACCAAGGTTGATTTCTTGGGTTCAATACTCAGTACCCACATGGTGGAAAGAAAGGGAGAACCAGCTCTTACAAGTTCCTCTCTGACCTTCGTGGCAGGCACCTATGTACACACAAAATAAATATACAGAAGTACAATTTTAAAAAGAAACAAGGTAGACACTGCCTGAAGAGCAGCAGCTAAGCCTGACTTCTGACCTCCATAGGCACACATACACATGTGTGCATACACACACACACACACACAAAGAGAATGTCACATGCCAATGATTTTGTTCTGGTTCATTTTTAAAGATTATTCTGTCTTCCTCTTCTGCCTTCTTCTCTGCTTGCCCTGCCTGTTTTATGGTCTAATATTTGGCAGCCATATGCATGCCTACAGGCATGGCAGCAAGTCTCCTCCTTTCAAATGTTCTCCCAGCTCTGACTGTGCCTATGGTGTAAACCAGGTTGTAGAACAGACCTGGTCTCCATCCTCAGAGCTTCACTGTGGTTAAGGAGACAGATGAAAAGCTAAGAACAAATGAACAGAAGACCTGGTGAACAAGAAATGATAAAAGTAATATTTTCTAACTTTACATATAGGGAGACAGGCAATGTTGTGGTGAGAGCAGGCTCTGCAGGCTGAGCCAGGCTCTGCTATTGGGAGAGCAAGAACACATCAGGGAGCAACCAAGGTTCTAAGGCACAGGGAGACTCAGCAACTGATGTGGAGTCCGTATGTGATCCACATGTGTGTAAGTGCATGTCCACGAGGGTCTGCAGAGACCAGAGGAGGGTATTGGTGTCTATTCCATTATGCCTCAGCTATATTCTCTTGAGACAAGATCTCACTGGGTCTAGGCTGGCAGATAGAAAGTTCCACCAACCCTTCTGCGTCTATACACACAGCACCACGGTTACAGGCATGTGCAGAATCATGCCAGCTTTTTATGTGGGTGATGGGGATTCAAACTCAGGTCCTCATACTTGCTCAGCAGGTACCCTTACCCACTGAGCCGCCTCCCCAGCCCCTCAGCTGTCTGTTGGTTAGAGACATTAAGATGCTTTGGGAAAGGCCTGGGGCTGTTGGAGGTTCGCTAACAGATGCATTGTGAGCTGTCAGGTGAAGAGCTCTAGAGTCTGCCACAGGGAGGGAATACAGAAAGGTAACTGGTATCTCAGGACGCTGGGCACCGTTGGCAGGGAATGTGGCCAATGATGTCCCTCGGTGACAGCCTTCAACGTGTTAGTCACAGAGCTCATGTAGGTCCGCATTGGAGAAGGGAGTGCCCTTTATAAACATGTCTCATCCCGTCTTCTGTACGTTTAGTTCTGAAGGCTGAGTTTGCTTGGCGTCTTCACTCTTAAAACCTCTCAATGAGTCGTCTGCTGTGTGTACACGAGGGCTACCTTGCTCACATCTTAGGGTACATTCTCCAAGGCCCCTTCTCTCTTGCCCTCCCAAGCACACTGGCAGATACGTGTCTGTTTTCTGCTTCTGTCCCCTTGGAGAATTTAGAAAGTTCTGTCTGTAGGAAAGACAGTCCTTGGTCTCCTGCCTTTAGTCCAGAGGTTTCATCGCATCTGTCAACACAGAGGGTCTGTAGGTCACTGTGGTGGTAGCTTCATGCTAGGAGACTGACTGACTTGTCAGAAAACAGCTATGAAGCAAGAGATGTAAGTTCAGTTGGTGGAGTGCTTGCCTGACACCCCAGAACACTGGATTTGATCCCAGGCACACTGTAATTCTCATCCTTACTCAGGAGGTAGAGGCAGGAGGATCAGATTCAGGGTCATTTTTGGTTTTGTAGCTAGTTCAAGACCAACCTGGGCTATGTAAGACTCAACCCTCCCCCCACCCCCCAAAAAAAAAAAAAAAACAAAACAAAAAACAAAAGCAAACAAAACAAAAAAAGTAGTTACCAAGACTAGGGAGAGACTGGGCCCCTTCGGAGGCCCCTACATGAGTACCAGTGAGTAACCATCTCTGCTTCTCTCTTACTCTGCTTTTCTAGGAGGGCCGAAAGAATGAGCTATTACTGTCCAAGATCAAAGCCAAGGCCTCCTGAGAACTCCATCTCCATTTCTGTATGTCGGTGATTTTTTTTAATGACGTGTATAGACTACAGGATCTTGACACGGTTCTGCAGATAATGGTGGAGAGATCCAGGAAGATTCATTTCCACTCTCTAGACGAATGTTTTCTTTCTCCTACTTGTTTCATTTCGTCTCTCCTGGCTGTGGCTGATGGACTCAGAGTAACACCACGTGGATGACACACAGAACCCTACGAAGACCAAGAACTGTGGGCAGTGCCCACTCACTCTATCCATTCAACTTGTATTTCTTCATTGGCACTGCGTTTATGAAGGTACCCGGATGTGTGCAGGCTCTGAGAATAAAGAGCATTATGTCCAGCAAGTATTGAGCAACTGCTAAGACATAAGCCCTGAGGTCAATGTAGCTGAACACTGTCCCTGCCCCTCTGGCATCTAGCAGGGGCTCAGAGAGCAGATGTGACCCTCTTGCTCCCCAAAGCTTGTCCCCTGAAATGTTTCAGAAGGCTGCTGGATGAGCAGCCAGCCCATTCACCTACCGTTGTGCCTTTTGTTCTGGCTTCTCACTGTATGTATGGACTCTAGGCTAGGCTGGTGTGCAGAGCAGTAAGCCCACTGGTGTAGAGACAGAAGCAGGTGAGGTTCAGGTTTATAAGAGTCCACCCATTTGTGTTGTGAAGACGGATACCAAGTGACCATGATGGGCTTTGGAAATGGGAAGCCTTGGTCTGGAGCCGTGCTTCTCAGGCATTTGCTCTGGTGTGGCTGTAGGTGCATCCTGCCCTCAGGCTGCATGTGGTCAAGGACAGCTGTGAGAGTGGCTCCCCTGTAGCTCCTTTAACCCTGCCCACAGCCCAGGCTCACTCGATGGGAATATTGCAAATGCACTTTTCGTTGAGGACACTTGAACAAGAATTGAAGCTCTCCATATCCAAATGGGCATATCCCTGTTGGAAGCATATCCCATGTTCTTGCAGTGTCTGGGTTTCAGTGAAGGTTAAGATGTGCACACTGTTGAGTACCATCTGGTCAAACAAGGGGAAAGACAGCAGGTGCAGTGCATGGAGGAAAAGGAGCTAGTACTCAGGGGCACGGAGACTCCACGAGCAAACAGCACTTGGGCCGGAGCTGAAAGGAATAGGATGTTAGGTGAGATGGGAAGGAGGGCCTCTAATAACCCCTAAAGGGTTGGGTCTAACCTCTGGAAATGAGCAGACCAAAACAATCACAGAGCATCCCCCAGTTCCCCAGTTGTCAGGAACCTAACAACTGGGTCATGCTCAGGTAGACCCCAGTGTGAGGTTTGTACTCCTTCTGCATAAACTTGCACACACATGAACTGAACAGCAGGTTGGAACCATTAAACAGAAGCAGGTGGAGTTTAGTTTCCTAATGTATGTGATTAAGAGGCACGAAGCATACATAGGAAAGAAAAGGTGCTGGGGCTCGGTCAGTAGAGTGCTTGCCTAGGTTCCATCCCTAACATCACATAAATAGACATGGTAGCATACACTTGTGATAGAGACAGGAGGATCAGGACATTGAGTGTATTGTAGGCTAAACAGCAAACTGGAACCAGCCTGCCCTACATAAAATTCCCACCACAAAAGAAAAGCCCACGTAGGCAGAATAACATCCGTTGCTAAACTAGGGCCACCGAGCTGTAGTGAGCTGGGTAGGAACAGCAGTGTCTAAAGAACCACTGCCCTGTGGCAGCACACACCTAGTGAGCCATGGGTGTGCTCTACCTCCACAGAGACATACGTGGTCATTGGAGCATTGGGAAAAGGCTCAGCTGGAATAGTGTAAAATAATAATAATGTTAATAAAAATAAAGTAGTTCTTTGAGGGAGAACACACCATGTGAGAGCTATACCAATTCAGAAGAGAGGCTCATCTGTCTGTATTATCTTGAAAGAAGCTAATTTACCCAGAACTCTGGCTAATGTCAGTGTTAGAACAGAGGTGTAGGGAGGGGAGTGGGAACATGTTAGGTTCAGGGTTAGTGGAGTCCAACTACCTATGTCTGGGAGAGGTGTGGACTAACTGATCTAAAGCACCTGTAACTGGATTTGGAAATGGGACCCTGTATTTGGTGCTGTTTCTAGAGACTTCCTTTGGTGTGGTTGTAGGCTGATCGACTACAGGCTGCCTATAGCTGAGGAGTGCTGTCAATGTAGCCCAGCACGAACTTGTAAAGTCATTTAGAACACAGATTATTTTCTCTCTTTTTTAAAACTCCATTACACTGTGTATTCTATAAACTTTGTAGATGACTGTGTCGTGCTATAGAAGCAAAAGGTTGATCACTCCTGGGAGAGAGAGATTGAGTTAGTAACTCTTGGTAGAGAGATTGGTGGATACTTTGTCCCATTCCTTAATCCATGAGGCTTAATAGAGATGATGAGAGGTTCCTGTTACTTGTTCTCCAGTACCAGGTACGACCTCCCTCCTGAGGAACAGGCAACAGAACTAAAGAGAATGCAGGTGGTTGACCTATAGTCGAGTCTCTATGACTCCAATGTTCTCATCTTGCCTGGCAGGTTGGTATTTCAGTCTGCAAGTCCATAGCTGGGTAAGACTGTTGCTGTCACCCCAGCTGTCTGTGTAGCAACATCGGACACTGTGAAAGCTAGCCAACAGAGAAGAGGCTTTGAGCTCAGATCTATCTTGATTTCTCTGTCCTACATTCAAAGTATGTGGTATCTAAAGCAGTAATATCTTACTCTCTGGTTCTGGTAAGCAACAATAAGCAGCGGATAACCTGTATTGTCTTGGAGCCTTGTGGGTAGGCTGTGTTACTTAGGTCTTTGAATTAAGACCACAGAAGCCGGCCCTGAGAACCCTACATTTGCATCAGACATCCTGAAACATAGACAGCACCTTCATGGGTAATTCCAGCATGAAGTGGGCTGCGCAGTCTGACGTTATTGGCTGAGGAGATTCCCTGAGACCAGTGGTCATTTCAGAATCCACCTGGAGGCTGGTGGAAGGGAGGGGCCTCCTGGGGCAGTGTCTTCTGAACCGAGGCATAGTACAGCGTTGTGTTTGGAGCCTACTGGCTTTTACCAGAATTATAAGATGATGAGGAAACATCTGTAGGTGACTCTTTTTTTCAGTGTGCACTTTAAGAGAAACCAAATTCAGAGCAGAGAGCTTGTTCTCAGGGCTGGCTCCCAGTGCCATGCATTGTTAGGACCAGCCTCTAGGTCAGGAGCCACCTTCCTTCCCACCTGCTTTTCCTGAAGTGCCTGAGGGTGCTCTGGTTAAGAGCAGGCTCAGAGCAGCTGTGAACAGGATGAGGCTGAGGTGATAGTGGAAGGTCTGGGAGGATGTAGGGCCATTCTGTTCTTGTCCATGTTCAGTGGTTAGTCAGCCAGCATCACAGGGTGGTGGTGAGTACTATAGAATGTCTGCTAACCTGCATTCAAAGGTGTGTCTCTAATGAAGCAGAGTCCATGTTGGGCATATGCTCCTGTTTATCTGGTTTGTAGCACTTGATTCAAGAACAGTGAAGACAAAGGCTTGTGGTAGAACCAAACCCACACTGCTCACCAGGGAAGGCTTTCCTTCTCCAGACTGTTTCTGGGGGACCTCTCAGGGCCTTGAACAAAGTACCAGGCAGGCCTTCCAACAACTTTCTTACTACCTCCCAAGATCCTAGTCCCATTGTTTGTCACTTTGGCAGCCTCTTGTCTTTTCTATCTTGAATACTGTAGACATGACCGGAAGGGGTATCTGAGACACCCAGCCTGACCTGCAACCTCTATGTGCATCCCTTCTGCCTCCCCATGGTTCTGTCTTGCCTGCTCTCCAGGTGATGGATGATCAGCTTAAAGGAGCTGGGCATCCTAGCAATAACTTCCTACAGGGACTTGGCTTGTGAAGGTTCAGGCAGTTGAACTGAAGTATGTTCTAAGAAGTACTGTAAGGAAGTGTTTTATGATGTATTCATTGACAGGGTTCATCACTGAGACAAAGAAGACCTAAATACAGAGCAGTGCAGTGAAGAGCCCAGGAACACGGGTGGGGGTGTCTGTTGCAGCTGAGGATGGCTAGAGGAAGAGCCTTCTGAGGTGCATCTTAGAGCTTGCCATGCTCTCCCTCCTAGCAGCAGGTGGCAATGGGGCCGAAGTGGTATGTAAAAGTAATGAAGGGCGGGGGAGATGTCTCAGTCAGTAAAGCATGAGGACCCGAGTTAGGATCCCCAGCATCAAAGCCGGGCATAGCATTGTGCCCTTGTGTTCTCAGCACTAGAGAGGTGGAGACAAGGTTCCCTGGGGCTCGCTGGCCAGCCAGACTAGCCGAATTGGTAAGCTTCAATTCGGTGAGAAAACCTGTCTCAGAATTAGGTAGAGAGCAATGAAGGTGGCATCTGAGTTAACCTCTGACCTTCACATGCATAGGCACATTCATACAGATGCACACATATCCCCATACACATAAAGGAACATGCATATGCAAAAAAAATGCATGTTTTCCTTCTCAAAGTAACTGTGTATAAATTCATGAGCAGGGCTTTAGTGCCTCATCTGCAGTGTGTTTGACACCAGGGGGAGTCGCTGCTTCTCTATCCTCCTGTATCCTCATTGGCCTATATCAATTTCCCAGACGGGCCAAACTACCCTCCATTGATACTCTCCTCTTGTGTCTGTCCTCTCCATGATTTGGGGTGATGTCTTCACACTGGCCTCCTGGTCATATCAAAGTCCACTCATCACATTCCTGTTGTCTGTCCTAATGACACATGTCGCTCACTGCTTAAAGTTCCTCATCCTTTGCAAGGTCTACATCTGACCCCCTTTGGACTGTGTAAGGGCAGCGGAAGCAGGGACCCTGCCCACCTCAATGTGGTTCATCAGACAGTCAGAACACCCTCCTTGGTTAAGTTGGCTCCCCAAACTGTTATCTTCACATCTTATAGTAGCAAAATCTAGATCTAACCTAATCTGTGCTCAGGTTTAAACAGGCTGTCAGTTCTAGTCAGCAGCACTAGAGAAACCCTCTACGGCATGTGTTCATTAGACGCTAACCTTGAAGGATGGAACAGAAAAGGAGTTTTCCAGAAGTTTCTAGGCTTTAACTCCAAGGTCACCTTTTGGAGATGTGCAGTATTGCGGCAGGGAGGGCACATTATTGTCAGATAGGATGATTAGTGTGTTCTTCCTTCAGACGTGGTAGATAATTAAAGAAAACGGGGTGGTGCTGTGGCACTGTGGGCAGCAGCACACTGTGCAGTAAATGGCAGAGCTACAAGCCTACTGTCCTTGGAGGACAGTATAACATCACAAATCCAATTGTACCGCCTTTTGAACCAGCTGTGCCACGTATAGGAACTTTTCTTATGTACAGAAACTTTTATTAAAGCAATGTTTGTAATAACAAAAAGACTAGAAACTACCATTAATTCAGAACAGAGGTGAAAAACCCTGGCCTATCTCTACAATGGGGCATTTTGCAGACACTTTAAAAGAATAGTATGTATTGCCAAGGAACGTTCAAGGGATCTTGGAGCCACATGGTTAAGTGGGGAAAGAGAACATGCATGAACATGCATGAAATGCTAGTGTTTGGAATAGAGATAAGTACATGTAGGTGTGTGGATGCATGTGTGTGTGTATACTCACACACATGCTTGTAATACATCTGCTTGCCAGTTCCCAGACTGTCTCTGAGAAGTGACACAGTAGCCTGGCAGCCTCACTTGCCGCTTGGAAGAGGGTGGAAATGACTTTTCACCGTTTGCCTTTTGTACTCCGGAGTTTTGTACCATGTACATGCATTATCTACTCAAAAATAAATAGTTTTTGAAGTTCAATAACAATCATGGAAGAAGATTCCACTTCCACTGGTCTGTTTTCTTCTTTCTTTTTTTTTATTTTTTGGGGGGAGGGGGTGGGGAATACATTGTATTGGAATAGGGTCTCCTGTCCCAGACTGCCCTTAAACTGTGTATAACAAGGGTGAGTTTGAACTTCTGATTCTCTGACCTCCCCCTCCCCAATGCTGGGATTATGGGTGTGTGTCAGCACACCCAATTTATACAGAACTAGGATTGAATCCAGGGCATCTTGCATGACAGGTAAACAGTATAACAATCCCCAGCACGGCCTCCCCCCCCCCCCATCAACCTGGTCCCCCCCCTTTGGGGGAGGGGCTTATTTTCTTTGGAGGTGGTAGAGACTTTCTGAGACAGGGTTTATCTGTGTAGCCCTGGTTGCTTGGAATTCACTTGTAACTATGCTGGATGCAACTCAAAGATCCGCCTGCCTCTTCCTCCAGAGATCCCAGATTAAAGGCAAGTGTTACCACACCCAGCTAATCTGTTTCCTTAACAAACAAAGCTCTGCAGTCAGAAGCAGTGCAGAGGCAGCGATTCTTGAATTTTAATTTGACCATATCTAGAATTAACTGAAACCCAAATGACTGGGCTCACTTGAGAGAGAAATTAAATCACTTGAAGTGGGAAGACCCACTTCTAATCCAGATCTTTGAGGTGGGGTAATGAGCCTTATCCAGAACTTTTGAGGTGGAAAAATCCACCATAATGTGGACCTCACCTTCTAGAGTTGACATGCAAGAAAAAAGATCTCTCCCCTGCCCCTCCTAGTTTGCTGTCCTTGCCTGCTTGTTCTCACTGGCAAGTCCATTCCTTCACTGGCATTAGAACCTACTTCTGTGGGACTCTGTTATATACTGAAGATAAGATGAAACATCCAGCCTCGTGGGCTGAACAACTACTGGATTCTTGGACTTTCCATTCATAGGCAGCCATTGTTGGACTAGCTGGACCACAGCCTGTAGTTTATTCTAATCCCCTTTACATATATACATAAGAAAATATTTCTTCTGTAAGTTTTGTTACTCTAACTAATACAGGCAGCTGGGCCTCTGAGGCCAACCCTTCATAGTAGCCCAGGACCCAGGACCCAAGACCCAAGACCCAGGACCCAGGACCCAGGACCCAGGACCCAGGACCCAGGTCAGGACCCAGGACCCAGGCAAATGAAGCCAGCTGCCTTTATTAGCCACTCTGAAACGCTGGCCTCATTTGGTGGAAGAACTTTGAGTGAACTGGGGAGGCTGACTGTGTACTTTCGTATGTGTAACGGGAATGAGCTGAAGCTGCTCTAGGGTTGTCTGTACCTCATGAGAATCACATTACAACCTTCCTGCTACACTCGGGATACAAAAAATAGGAACAGTACCTCTGAACAATTAGCATCCTCCAGCAGCCGTACCCATTTCACCTGGAACCTTCTGTGTGTTGTCTCTCCCACCCCCTTAACTTGCCAGCTCCTCTTGTTGGTTTTTATAGTCCAACTTGACACAAACTTAGAGTCACCTGGAAAGAGGAAGCCCCAAATAGAAAATTGTCTCAGTGTGGCCTGAGGCTATTGATCTGGGAGGGCCTGGCCAACAATGGGTAGCCCCATCCCTAGACCAGTGTCTCTGGTCTGTATATAAAGCTAGCTGACCGTAAGCTAGAGGGGAACTGGTAAGCCATGTTCCTCCATGGTTTCTGCCTCAGCTCCTGCCCTGACTCCCCTCAGAAAAGCATGTTACCAAGTATCAACTGAATTACCAAGTGAAAGCTGATCCCTGCTTCGTCCAACTGCAGTGCATTAGTTATTTTTCTTCAGGCTGTGATTAAGTATCTGACAAAAGCAAATTCGGGGAGGAAGGGTTCATTTTGTCTCACAGTTCCAAGGGATACAGTCCATTACAGTGAAAAAGCATGGCAGTAGGAACTTTGGAAGTGTCTGGTCACATTGTAGCCACTGTCAGGAAGCCTAGAAAGAGGGATCCTAGCTCACAGGATGATGCCATCCATACTCAGGGTGTGTTTACCCACCTCTGTTAAACTAATCTAGAAACTCCCACAGTTAAAATTCCTAGAGTTGTATTTCCATGGTGATTCTGAATTCTATCACGCTAACAATCTACATTAACCATTGCATCTCCAGGAAAAGAACTACAACTAATGTTAAAATATTACTTAAGAGTGATTGTATGTCTGTGTGTGTACACACGAGCACATGTATGAGTGTACGTGTGCTTGCTGGCTCCTGTATGCCAGAAGAGGACATTAGATACCCTTGGAGCTGGAGTTACAGGTGTATATCAGCTGCCTGACAAGTATGCTAGAAATGGAACTTGGGTCCTCTGCAAGAGCAGCAATCACTCTTAACCTGTTTACCATCTCCACCCAAATGCTACTAGTCTAAGGCAGGGAAGTCCTCTACTTACTCAGCGTATTTATAAACAGATGTCCAAAACATTTGTGACCTGTTAGGGGACACTGCTAATACATGCCCAGCAAAGACAGGATCCCTGGCCACTTGAGTAAGAGGGGCATCACGGGAGTTCCTGCTACTCTTTCTGTTTCTTCAAATAGTAGAAGGAAAGACAGAGTTTGAAAAGTAGCATCATCCTTTCTGAGACTGAGACATCTTGACATGGAGCTTGTCCAAGTAAAAAGATGAAAATCCAGGATTCCTGGAAGTGTGGTAAGATTCTGAACCAGCTTGGGGACCATTTGCCTCTGTTCCTGCTCAGTGAGGATCTTCATTGTTATTGATATATTCAACCAACCATGTCAGGCAGTCAAGAGAACCTGCCTTCCAGAGGGACTGGAATAGGGTGAAGGCACACAAGAACTTGAATTCATCAGCTGATTCAATACGCTAGTTAAAGCAAGGAAGGATTCAGAGTGGTGGGTTTGATGGTGGCTACATTGTTACACTGAGAAGCTAGGGAAGGCCTCAGCCACTAACCAGGGACAGAGTCACATGGAAACCTGGGCGACAATTCCAAGCAGACAAAATAGTAAAAAGACACATGCCCAAGAGAGTTTGAAGACCCGTGTTGGGAACCTTTGAAGGTTTTAAGAGGAAAAAACTCTCATGGGGCTCCCTCTGGAAATGATTGACTGTCGGAAGGTAAGGGCAGATTCAGGTAGTGCGATTACAAGACTACTGTAATGATTTACAGTAATGATGTAATTGATGTAATTGTCATCCTATTGTGCCAGGAAGCATTCATGAATCTCAAAAGACCACAAAAGAGCCGTTTCCAATGCAATCACATTGGGATCTCTTTATTAGAAGCTTAACCCAAGCTAAGGTTCTCCTCCAACCCAACCTTGGCACAGCAAGACAGGAAGGTGGAGCAGCCTTGAACCCTCAGCAGGAAAAGATTTTATAGGAAATGGGAGCAAGTGGCTATGTCAAGGAGACAGTCTCAGGAAAGCCCTGAGAGACCCTCACTGAAGGACATAGTACTAAATATCGTGAAAACAAACCAACTTTGTCACATGTCTAGTCTAACAAATGAGAAGTAATACCTCAAATACATCCTAAACGGGTTTGGCAGGATTTCCACCTAGTGTAGAAATGTAGCACAATTCACTAGTAATGTCTCTCATGTCCTTCTGTAGAAGTCATGGATATGTTTGCCAAACAGTTGTCAACCTTCATGAGAATTCTTCAACATTCCAGGCCCAGTGGTAAGACTTGGAGTATCTCCAGCGGGCTGTGGGTGGTGGGGAGAAGCCCCAGGTCTCTGGTGAAATGAGGATTACACATCCTTTTTTTTCCCCAGGTCTTCTCTTTTATCTCCCCAGCCCTTCTTAACTCTGCTTAGTAAAGAGGCTCTTGAAAGCATTGTTGTAGTTCTTATTAAAGGCTGTGTAAATCAAGGGGTTGAAGAAGGAATTTGAATAGCCGAGCCACAGGAATATGCTTTTCCAGATGGGTGGCAGGCTGCAGGCACAGAGCGGGCTGATGAGCTCCGTCAGGAAGAAGGGGATCCAACACAGCACAAACACTCCAATCAAGATCCCCACCATCATGGCTGCTCGCTTCTCCTTCTGCTCCCGCCACGAGTCTCCGCTTGTCTGGAAGGTCACTGTTGCTCTGCAACGTGCTGTGAACACCATCTCAGACTCCTGAGGTATTTCCTTTGCCTCGAAACAAAGGAAATATGAAATTAAAACAACAGAACAGGGGAACAAGCTGAACTAAAAAAAAAAAAAAGTCAGTGATTCTCAGTTCTGTCAGAGAATTAAAGTCACAAGGCTCAGGTGCTGTTTAAAAGATAAAACACACTGTGAATCCAGAGACTCATGGCTGAGGGAACAGGCAGCCACAAGCAGGAACCAGTGCACAAGGACAGAGAATAATAAATGTGACTGGCGGGGTGCTGGAAGCTCCACATGGACATATCTGATTGCTAAAATCTCCAGATGTGGCTGTGCATTCAATAATGTGTTTGCTATGCAAGATGAGGACCAGAATTGAATCCTCAAAACCCATCTGAAAATCCCAGCATGATGACATATGCTTGTAATGGGGAGTGCGGGGGAGGTGGAGTCAGGAAGATCTCTGTGGTTCATTGTCCATCCAGTCTAGCCAAACTGGTGAGTTCCATGGTCAGTGAGAGACCCTGTTTCAAAAACCCAAGGTGAAGAGGGCTGAGGAGGTGGCTCAGCAGTTCAGATTATGAATCAGCAGTACAGTCATGAATATTGTAGTTTAGATCCCAGCATCCTACGTGTACCTGCAACATCAGATCTGAGGGCGTGGAGACATAAGGATTGCTCAGCCTGCTGGCTTCCGGCCTAGCTGAGAAAATATGAGCCCCAGGTTCAGGGTGAGACCACGCCTTAAAAGAGCAGATAGTAATAGAGGATGCCTGACACTCTCATCTTGCATCTACACACAGACATGGGTACACACGGGTACACATGCTCTCACATAGATACAAACACACCCATCATTTTAAAAAAACAAGGTGGAGAGTGACTATGGAAGATACCTAATG